TTAGTAATGATTAACTAGTATGAGATCAGTAATTTATACTAGTATACTGGATCCCTAAATGTTAATGATCCACTGACTTAAGTGAATCAGTAATTATAACATGGATTTAGGCTATAATGGACAGTCTGCTGACAGCCATGTATTGAAACATTGGTATAGCCTAAATGGTTAACACTTAATTGGTGTTAGTGATTAATATAAGGTTATGAGCTGTTGCTCTTGGTGACCTAAGGATTCTACTTCAGTATGAAGTGTAGGTCTAAATGTTGTGGGTAATTGGTTATGACCCACTAAAGCTATGTAAAGGTAGCTGTTAGTGTGATCTAGGCTAACTGGTGTGTTACACTGTTAGTTGACACAATTAATTAAATAGTTAGTCTAGCTTCTATCACACAAGGATTAGTTATTAATGGTTAATATTTTAATTATAAATTTAATGCCTATCCGGTTCGAAAAGGACCATAATGTGGGATATTTGAGCTTGATTCTAATTAATTAATAATTAAAATAGTAAATTAAATTACGAAGGACCACCCACTTTTAAAGTAAAGAGGGAAACTGAGAATTTCAGATCATTAGATAAAATTCTAGAGAAAACCAGTGACTATGGATATAACTAGAAAACATGATCATAAGAATAATTAATGGGCTGTATTATTAAAGAAACAAACCTTAAACACCTACATTGGGGGGTTATTACTGGAGGTAAGTACGTCCAGGAATCAGTGTGGTTCGTTCACTAATTCAATTAATAATAATCTAATCCTATAAATAATGCTGAATATAATATCATTCACATAAAGAAGAACATGAATATGAGCATAGTAATGAGTTACAGTAAATCACACATTAATATCAAACATTCTGAATACATCAAATTGCAAGGAAATGGATAAAAAGAAATAAGCCTTAGCTGGTAGCAGATTCCTTTAGATAACCATGGCAGTCCTCTTAATCTCCAAGTCTGGTACACTGACGAATGGTACGGTTAACATGGAGAAGACAGCATGAGGAATTCGTCTCTCGAGCTGCAAGATAAATAACTACCAGTAGCAATTGATTTAACTAATCAATTCATATTCAAAATTATTAATATCTACAGATGGAATTCTAATCACCTGTTATTAGGTGTTATCCCGCTGCTTGACGAACAATCACCCCGCTATTATTAGACCTGTAAATGATGCATCAAATAAAGGGTACTTAGCTGTGGGCACTGTATAAGTATTAAGATTGCCGTAATTTCGCATCCCAGGCTCCAGTGAACCTATCCTGGATTGTGATGCGTTTCAAGCTGGCTGATCACGTGTCGTCAGGAACCAAGTCTAGGGGTCCCTCATTTAACACCAGCACTAGTTGAAGATATTATCTGCAAGGTCGTTCACGCCTCACAGTGGCGGCTTTCATCTGAGGATGAATAACACCTGCCCGATTTGCTGGGCAATGGCGTCTTTTATGAGTACGGTAAGCACAGTTCTGCCTCCTTTCGGCTCTGCACGTGTCCGCGTAACGCGCACCGTCACCGACTGAGGATGGCGTCGCGTCCCTCCCCCCACGCCGAGTCGACGTTCATTACACAAATTATTGGCATGAACATTAATATTTCTCGCATTCGCGCTTAAAACTCTAAAGACTGGACGGGTTTATTATTTAGAGGAACGAAATATTATTATTTAACTATTTAAGAATAGTAAATATATAAGGGAGAGGAATTAATGTCTCCCCATAGCATTCATTGATGACGTTAACACTACCGCGAGGTAGACGGTATAATTCTAACGCTCTATTCGGCTTTTAGTTAGAGAACAATTCGTCTGCAATCAGTTGTCATACAGAATGCTTTAATTATGGAGAATCGTATTTAATTCTCACACAAATTGAATATAATGTGTTTTACTGTAAAGAAATCTGACGCAATACTGGCGTCAGGTGACGTGGGAATTCTAGCCTAATGCACAGATGAATTATTAGTACATGAGAATTCTACGAGTTGTTAGTTTTACTTACTACAATATTAAGTATGGTTAGTAATAAGTAATGAGAATACAACAATACTGTATTCGATGTTGGAAATATCCAACAGGGGGGGAGGGGCGGAACAGTCGATTGATTGACAATTGAGAGGCGGGCAGAAAAAGAGCAGAGCTTAACCCCCCCCCCCCCCCCCCCGCCGATAAGCACAACTAGGTGAATACACATACACACACACACACAAACATGACAGACATAACATGGCAGTTAACACTGTAATTGAGAGGGAAGCCTCTGCTGCCTGTAGAAATCGATCCCATCTGCTCTTCATAGGGAGAATTCAATCACGGAAAGATAGACTTGGAGAGCAAGGAAACCTCATGGAGGGAAATAAACAAGAAGAACTAAACTATTGGACGTTGCGACAAGAAATGTTTTAAGCCAGCATGTCAGGGGACCCACAAGAATGAGAGGCAACGATGAACCAGCGAGACTCGACCTAGTCTTCACTCTGAACGACTCCGACATAAGGGAAATCGGTTTAGAGACCGCAGTAGGAATGAGCGATCACAGTGTACTGACGTTTGAGTATCTGGTCGAAGAACGGTTAATGTGTTCAAGGAGGTGACCAGAAAACAAGAGGCCGGAATTCCGAAAAGGAATTTCTATGAGCAGATTAGGAAATTCCTAACTGATATAACGTGGGAAACAAAGCTCAGAGGAAAGACTGCCCAAGACATGATGGGCTACATCAGGCAGAAGTGCAAGGAGGGAGCAGACAAGTTTGTCTCAGTTTGTTTGTCTAACTCTTTGTTTCCTTTGGTATAGCCATGCCCTAATCCAACTTAATATATCACCCCCAATACCATGAGCCTCTATCTTTTTTATAAGACTTTCATGTGGCACTGCATCAAAATCTTTGCTAAAGTCAAGGTACACCACATCACAACCTTTACCACTATGTGGGTGGGAAAGAGAATAGGTTGACTAATGTGTACACATTCTAAATATCTCAAAAAAAGTTTCTAAAACTGTTGGCATTCTTTCTAAGATCAGATATCATGTCACTGCCCTGGTGACGCTCTATTACTCTCTCATCTATCCTTATCTCAATTATGGTACTTGTGCTTGCAGTTCTTCTACTACACAAAATCATTTACGTCCTCTAATTATTCAACACAAAGCTGCTATTAGAACAATATCTAACTTTGGCCCAAGACAGCACTCGGTACCCTTACTCAAATCTCTGAATATGTTAGATATTAAGTCACTGCACATCCTCTCATGCGTACTCTATATATTTAAAACTCTGAACTGCAATGTCAATCCTGACCTTAGAAGCTTCCTAGAAGGTTGTAACAGAACTCATGGGCATCACACCAGAAACAAATACCTATTTGATATTCCAAGAGTGCGCCTTAATCAAACGAGAAATGCTCTACAAATCAAGGGACCCAGAATGTGGAATGACCTCCCAAATCATGTCAAAGGCTGTACCTCTCCCAACCAGTTTAAGAGAAAAACCAAGTGCTACTTAATTAACTCCATGTAACCTACCTTACCCCCTAAATGTCAACCCATGTCTTGCTTTTGTTAAACAATGCTGTTTGTTCTCCAACTTGTACAATTGCTTAATTCGGCCATGTTCCACCTTTTTTATTTTGTATTCCTTTTTCAACACAATTTATCCCTAATCCCAATTACTATTAAGTTTTAGTCTAAGCGTTTTTCTTTTCCCTTCACTCTGCCCGAAACGCTATGAGTATTAGTGGCTTTAGGTATTGTATGTACTAGTTCTATCTATAAATCTAACATTATGTTTGTAAATCAACTATGTATGTACTTTTCCTGAATAAAAATTTATTTATTTATTATTTATTACTATCAACTGCCTCAACTATGCTGGAATAAAATGATAGCAATTTTTTTTTAAATTAACGGCCATTTGTAAAACCAAGTTGTGAATCATTTATTAATTTATGTTTTCTTGTTTTATGTTTTTGCAATTATCGATTCAAGTAACTTTCCCAAAATAGACGTACGGCTAATTGGCCGATAGTTTGACACAAGTGATCTGTCTCCTTTTTTTTTAAATTGATACCGCATTAGCAACCTTTCACGACACTGCCACTCTGCCTGACTAATGATTTGTTAAATATGGTACACAATGGCCGGCCGCAAAGCTCCTCTTTGCATTCTTTATGCACCCTGACAAACACTTCGTCTGGCACTGGGAACTTGTTTTGCTTGAGTTTCACTCTTTGTTTAATAACATCCTCTCTGGCAACTCAAACTGCTAAACTAGTCAACCTATTCTCTTCCCTATCCACATAGACTTGTTTAGCTGAAGGCATAATGTTAAGTTCCCCCTTTGTAAATACAGAGATAAAATATTTATTAAAAATACTACTCATCTCTTCGTCATTATCAGTTATATGACCTGTCTCAGTTTTAAATGTACCTATCGTTTCCCTAATCTTTGTTCCATATAACTGAAAAAAAAATCTTTAGGATTTGTCTTTGCTAAACCGAACTGAACCGGACGACATTAGAAGAAAAAGGGAGCGGGGATATATGATAACAGTATACAAAATACTTAGGGGGTTGACAGAGTGGAAACAGACGAACTGTTCACACGGAATACCAACAGAACAAGGGGACAAGAGTGGAAGCTGGAAACTCAGATGAGTCATAGAGATCTTAGAAAGTTTTCTTTTACCGTGAGAGTAGTGAGGGAAATGGAATGAACTAAAGGAGCACATTGTGGAAGCAAACACTATTCATAGCTTTAAAACTAGGTATGCTAGAGAAGTAGGACAAGAGTCATTGCTGTAAACAACCGAAGGCTAGAAAGGCGTGATCCAAGAGCCAATGCTCGTTTCTGCAGGCTCAAATAGGTGAGTACACACACACAAACATACATTATAATGTCCACTAAGGCAGTGGACATCGACTTATAAACCGAAACAAATTATTACATAGTTTTTAATCTTTTAACATATTAGTTAAAGACGCAGCAGTTTACTCACCGATTCTGAAATTAGCAGTTTGCGTCATCATGTCAACGAGAGTGTGCTGGTCCGGGGTGGTGAAAAACTTTCTTTTTAATGTATCTTGTTTCTTGAAGGCGGTCAGCCAAAGGCCCTTGAAGTAGGCAGCGTTCACCAGCACCATCGGCACATCTCTGACGTCGGCGGCGGTCACCAGGACTGGGATCTTGCCCCGCGTTGTCTTGCTAACGAACTGGTTGATTGTTTCAGCTGATGCAGCCGCCTGTCAACATAAGCTCGCAGTTGACTACACACAGGAAGGTAAAGTTTATCTCAGACAAATGAGAGATAATTTGGACTAATTGGCAAGTAGAAAAATAACTTTTTGAACACATAATATTAAAGAAATTACCAAAATGCAGGTTCTTCAATTTTGTATGAAAAGTGTTGGACAGTAGATAATGCTACGGTACAAGAATGGTAGTCCTAGTTGCACTACCTCTGTGGACAGTAGTTGATGTTACAGAACAACACTGGTAGTCCTGTCTGTCATGAATTAATTGTTTTTCGACTACCTAACCTACCTAACCTAACCTAACCTAACTTTTTCGGCTACCTAACCTAACCTATAAAGATAAATTAGGTTAGGTTAGGTAGAGTTGGTTAGGTTCGGTCATATATCTACGTTAATTTTAACTCCAATAAAAAAAATTGACCTCATACATAATGAAATGGGTAGCTTTATCATTTCATAAGAAAAAATTTGAGAAAAAATATTAATTCGGGAAAACTTGGCTTAATTGGGAAATCGGCAAATATCCAGCATTACAGCTGTAATGCTGGATATATCGGGAGTTCCATTCGGAACTTTAAGATTAGGATACTTGAGCACCGGGGATTATGTTTTAGGACTGGATTACCATTGTCTAAACCAGCATTTTCGGAGATTAGAAACCATTGTTATGAGTTTAATCATTCTCTGCTGGAATCTGATTTTAAAATTCTGGACACTTGTATGAATGGCCAGTCAGATTTGAGAGTAATGGAATCCTTATATATAAAGGAGCTGCGGCCTCTGTTAAATAGCAACCTTTCAGCTGTTCAATTGTACACTGTATAGTGCACAGTAGGCCCTGTAATTTGATTTATAGTTCATTTTGGTATTTTAATTTTATTATAATTTTGTTTAGTTTACCATGTCTTTGCCCTTTCTTACTTATTTCAAGTCTTAACATTGTACATTAATATAATCTTTTATTTAGGATATATAATACATTTTTTGGTATTTAATTTTATTTAATATTTGAGTTTTTTATAAGATTTTGGTTAGTACTTTATAATTGTCGTTTATTTTGTTTGTATTTTACATACATTTTTCGTAGATTTGTAGTCATTATATAAATATTTGTTATAGTGTTTAGTATCTATGTGTTAGGTATCAACTTTCACTTTTGATCACTTCACGTAAGTTTAATGGAATGGTTTGTTTTAGTAGTTATAAATTTTATCTTGTAGTTTAATGGATTTTTAAATTAGCTTTAATATATGTGACAGTTAATAAGTTTTATTTGTATTGATCACTTTAAGTGCGCTTAAGTGTTTTGTTTTTTAAGCATTTTCCTTTCTTTGATAGGCAATTATATTCAGTATGAGTTCTTTGTTTACCAGCTATTTGATTGTGATTTCTGTTTTTTCTTTTAGATCTGATGATGAATACGAGAAGTATTCGAAACGTTATGTTTTTTAAAGTAAAGATTCTGATACAAGATGTTCAGTATATCCCTGGTTTTCCTATTCATCTTAAAATTAAGATTCCCGAAGGGAACATCGATCATAAATATATATATATATATATATATATATATATATATATATATATATATATATATATATATATATGTCGTACCTAGTAGCCAGAACTCACTTCTCAGCCTAACTATGCAAGGCCCGATTTGCCTAATAAGCCAAGTTTTCCTGAATTAATATATTTTCTATAATTTTTTTCTTATGAAATGATAAAGCTACCCATTTCATTATGTATGAGGTCAATTTTTTTTTATTGGAGTTAAAATTAACGTAGATATATGACCGAACCTAACCAACCCTACCTAACCTAACCTAACCTATCTTTATAGGTAAGGTTAGGTTAGGTAGCCGAAAAAGTTAGGTTAGGTTAGGTTAGGTAGGTTAGGTAGTCGAAAAAACATTAATTCATGAAAACTTGGCTTATTAGGCAAATCGGGCCTTGCATAGTAGGCTGAGAAGTGCGTTCTGGCTACTAGGTACGACATATATATATATATATATATATATATATATATATATATATATATATATATATATATATATGTTGTACCTAGTAGCCAGAACGTCGTACTCGGCCTACTATGCAAGGCCCGATTTGCCTAATAAGCCAAGTTTTCCTGAATTTATATATTTTTCAATATTTTTTTCTTATGAAATGATAAAGCTATCCATTTCATTATGTATGAGTTAATTTTTTTAAATTTGAGTTAAAACTAACGTAGATATATGACCGAACCTAACCAACCCTACCTAACCTAACCTAACCTATCTTAACCTAACCTAAACTAACACAATTAAGTCAATAATTTATGTTCTTAATATAATATAATAATAATAATTCAAATAAACTAATTGGAAACAATTTATTGAAAATAAAGAAAATCACTCGGCCTATTAGGCAAATCGGGCCTTGCATAGTAGGCCGAGAAGTGTGTTCTGGCTACTAGGTACGACATATATATATATATATATATATATATATATATATATATATATATATATATATATATATATATATATATATATATATATTTTTAGAACCGGGCCCGGTTCTCTTCTGCCTATTTATGTCCAGTACTCGACCTGTAAAACCACACCTTCTGAAGATGTATTAATATACGAAAGTTCTTAAGGAAATTCCTGTTTCAATTTTCCTCCGTAGTCTGACACTATCTCATTTTTAATCACGTGTTTATTTTTCATGATTTACACACATATATATAATGTATAAATCACTAACAGCACACACTGGTTAAGCGGCGAAAAGATGGCCGTAAAGCATTGATCACCATTATTAACTGACGACAATGTAGATCGTAGGCATAATATTTTTTGTTTGCTTCAAGGGGGAAACAGGAGATGGGAGCTGCCAGGTGTTTAGGGTGGGGTGGGAGGTGTGGGGGTTGGGTGGGACGGGGGTGTGAGAGAGATATTAACACGTGCAAGGGCATGAGTAGTCATTACGGTTACCACACCAGGTATGAGAAGGCGATGGTGTGTAAGGAGGGCATAGTTGTGTTTTCTTCAGGAGCCCACCTGAAGAAGGGAGGGTGTCACGCCGTACTGTGAGGTACTTATCCAGTTTCTATACAAGTAAGCTAACTTTTTCTTCTGTCTTTAACTGTTCTACTACTAGTACTAGTACAATCCCTAGTCATTTATTTCTCTATCTGTCTTTTATTCCTCTATTTTAATATTATTCTCTCTTCATACACACTCTCTACCTAAATATTCTAATCTTACATCTTCATACTTTGGTTCGTCTATGCACTCACCTATCTCTTACCTCAAAATGGAACCTGCTAGCCGCTGTACACTTCCCCCTCTAAAAATGGAACCTCATACCCGCTGTACAATCTACGAAAAAATTATACTTTCACTAAACAATCCTATTGACATTTTTTTTTTAAATTTCAACACTTTCCAACAGTTATCATTCTCCCCTTTCCATCATCATCAATGTCCTCATTATCATTATCATGCAACATAGACTAAAGTTGTGCAACATGCAGTGCAACATATGTTGCACAGGACTCCATGTCCGGTTCTAGTCCTCAATTCTCCGTCTGTCATGTAGATTACTGTATGTATTTTAGCAGCGAGGAGGTCACTAAGAGGTCACAGGTCATGCAGCTTATTGCGTGTACAAATTAAGAACATATCCAACCTGACTGAAGTCGATAATCTGCACTTCTTTAGGTAGGACGTCCTTGACACACTCCCGGAGGGTGACGTTATTGTCCATATACACTTTGTTGGCCAAGTCTATCACATACTCGCTGGTGTTGGCTTGTCTCTCCGCATACCTGCACGGTCGTCACGTACTTATGATAAATTCATATAAACACATATATAAGGAATATATATTATACAACAAACAAAAAACAAAAAAATGTTCAAGTTCATTTATATATATATATATATATATATATATATATATATATATATAATGTTTATATATATATATATATATATATATATATATATATATATATATATATATATATATATATATATATATATATATATATAAGCCTATACTTGCATAAACCACAAGTGAAGATTAATAATCTTTGGACAACACCCACCAGTGGGACTCGAACCCAGAAAGCACAACTACCTTCCAGTAGCTGCCAAAACTAGTATGCTTTAACCCACTACACCATCAGACCCTACAAAGACGTAGAGAGTTCGAGATATATATACATCCCAAAATGGTGTAGTGGGTTAAAGCATACTAGTTATGGCAGCTACTGGAAGGTAGTTGTGCTTTCTGGGTTCGAGTCCCACTGGTGGGTGTTGTCCAAAGATTATATATATATATATATATATATATATATATATATATATATATATATATATATATATATATATATATATATATATATATATATATAAATATATATATATATGAAGGCAGGCGTCCGCTTTCTAATGTGAGTATACTTACAGTCGGTCGAGAGCCTTATAGGTGGCCAGAGTGTGTGCAGCGTCACGCAGATGCAGAGTCTCCTGCAGCTGCTGGCGGGTCCTGCCACCAGACCCAAAGTAGGCCAGGACGAGGGCGTTCCAAATGCTGTAAGGGGAGAAGAAGAAGTTTCCCGGGGTGTTGGGTGGGTTGAACTGCTTGAAGAGGTCCAGGCTGAAGGGAGTGATGTTTTCCAGGTCAGGGGTTGGGGGCAGGGGTAGGTGGTCGTTGTCTGAGACACATTGAGGCCGGGCCACACTCACCAGCGTCACCACCAGCACCGCTCCACGCCACACTTGCCTCATTCTGTGGACAAGTGCACTAAAGCAGAGTTAATTTGTTCTGAATCATTATCAATATTGGTATAATTATCCTGCTAAAAAAATCGTTCAAAAAATCGTCGAACAATAAACATGGAAAGATTAAGTGATCTAGTATTTCTTCACAATATTGATGATATAAGATATGCGTAGAATTTAAAATATCTCAAAGAAAATTAATAATAGTCACAATGCTGTCATGTTTAAGGACATGTGCTGTAAAGAAAATCTGTAAAGAATGAGGTGATTTGGTAAAATGCTATGCCCAAGATTACTATCCGAGTGCCGGCGGTGGGGTGGTTCAAATAGCCTCGGCTATCACCTCATTAGTCCGGTCGTGATGGTCAAGTGGATTAAGGCGTCTTGTACATACCAGTTGCGTTGCTCCTGGGAGTATGGGTTCGAGTCACTTCTGGGGTGTGAGTTTTCAGTTGCATATTGTCCTGGGGACCATTCAGGCTTGTTCGCATTTGTGTTCCTCACGTGTGCCCCAAAGAATGAGGTGATTTGGTAAAATGCTATGCCCAAGATTACTATCCGAGTGCCGGCGGTGGGGTGGTTCAAATAGCCTCAGCTATCACCTCATTAGTCCGGTCGTGATGGTCAAGTGGATTAAGGCGTCTTGTACATACCAGTTGCGTTGCTCCTGGGAGTATGGGTTCGAGCCACTTCTGGGGTGTGAGTTTTCAGTTGCATATTGTCCTGGGGACCATTCAGGCTTGTTCGCATATATATATATATATATATATATATATATATATATATATATATATATATATATATATATATATATATATATATATATATATATATACATATGTCGTACCTAGTAGCCAGAACGCACTTCTTGGCCTACTATGCAAGGCTCGATTTGCCTAATAAGCCAAGTTTTCCTGTTTTAAATATTTTTCATTTTTTTTCTTATGAAATTATAAAGCTATCCATTTCATTGTGTATGAGATAATTTTTTTCAAATTTGAGTTAAAAATAACGTAGATATATGACCGATTCTAACCAACCCTACCTAACCTAACCTATCTTTATAAGTTAGGTTAGGTTAGGTAGTCGAAAATACATTAATTCATGAAAACTTGGCTTATTAGGCACCAGAGTGCACTTCTCAGCCTACTATGCAAGGAACGATTTGCCTAATAAGCCAAGTTTTCATGAATTATTATATTTTCTCTAATTTTTTTTTATGAAATGATAAAGCTACCCATTTCATTATGTATGAGGTCAATTTTTTTATTGGTATACAACTTTAGAACACTTTCCCACCAGGAGACTCGAACCCTAGCCAGCACAGAAGCCTTCCAGCAACTGGCATAACAGGTACGCCTTAACCCTCTCCACCACCTGCTCAGACCCTTAAAAGAGATGGTAATTTCGGAGTATTTAAATACCACAAAGATCACCACCTCCCAAGAGCACTAGAGCAAGTGAGGGGTCATTTAGACGTTAATTTCATCAAGTCCCTGTTAATATGGGAAGACACAGTGTCTATGCTTAAGGCACAACTCTCCTAAACACGAGAGTCAAGTATACAACTTTAGAACACTTTCCCACCAGGAGACTCGAACCCTAGCCAGCACAGAAGCCTTCCAGCAACTGGCATAACAGGTACGCCTTAACCCTCTCCACCACCTGCTCAGACCCTTAAAAGAGATGGTAATTTCGGAGTATTTAAATACCACAAAGATCACCACCTCCCAAGAGCACTAGAGCAAGTGAGGGGTCATTTAGACGTTAATTTCATCAAGTCCCTGTTAATATGGGAAGACACAGTGTCTATGCTTAAGGCACAACTCTCCTAAACACGAGAGTCAAGTATACAACTTTAGAACACTTTCCCACCAGGAGACTCGAACCCTAGCCAGCACAGAAGCCTTCCAGCAACTGGCATAACAGGTACGCCTTAACCCTCTCCACCACCTGCTCAGACCCTTAAAAGAGATGGTAATTTCGGAGTATTTAAATACCACAAAGATCACCACCTCCCAAGAGCACTAGAGCAAGTGAGGGGTCATTTAGACGTTAATTTCATCAAGTCCCTGTTAATATGGGAAGACACAGTGTCTATGCTTAAGGCACAACTCTCCTAAACACGAGAGTCAAGTATACAACTTTAGAACACTTTCCCACCAGGAGACTCGAACCCTAGCCAGCACAGAAGCCTTCCAGCAACTGGCATAACAGGTACGCCTTAACCCTCTCCACCACCTGCTCAGACCCTTAAAAGAGATGGTAATTTCGGAGTATTTAAATACCACAAAGATCACCACCTCCCAAGAGCACTAGAGCAAGTGAGGGGTCATTTAGACGTTAATTTCATCAAGTCCCTGTTAATATGGGAAGACACAGTGTCTATGCTTAAGGCACAACTCTCCTAAACACGAGAGTCAAGTATACAACTTTAGAACACTTTCCCACCAGGAGACTCGAACCCTAGCCAGCACAGAAGCCTTCCAGCAACTGGCATAACAGGTACGCCTTAACCCTCTCCACCACCTGCTCAGACCCTTAAAAGAGATGGTAATTTCGGAGTATTTAAATACCACAAAGATCACCACCTCCCAAGAGCACTAGAGCAAGTGAGGGGTCATTTAGACGTTAATTTCATCAAGTCCCTGTTAATATGGGAAGACACAGTGTCTATGCTTAAGGCACAACTCTCCTAAACACGAGAGTCAAGTATACAACTTTAGAACACTTTCCCACCAGGAGACTCGAACCCTAGCCAGCACAGAAGCCTTCCAGCAACTGGCATAACAGGTACGCCTTAACCCTCTCCACCACCTGCTCAGACCCTTAAAAGAGATGGTAATTTCGGAGTATTTAAATACCACAAAGATCACCACCTCCCAAGAGCACTAGAGCAAGTGAGGGGTCATTTAGACGTTAATTTCATCAAGTCCCTGTTAATATGGGAAGACACAGTGTCTATGCTTAAGGCACAACTCTCCTAAACACGAGAGTCAAGTATACAACTTTAGAACACTTTCCCACCAGGAGACTCGAACCCTAGCCAGCACAGAAGCCTTCCAGCAACTGGCATAACAGGTACGCCTTAACCCTCTCCACCACCTGCTCAGACCCTTAAAAGAGATGGTAATTTCGGAGTATTTAAATACCACAAAGATCACCACCTCCCAAGAGCACTAGAGCAAGTGAGGGGTCATTTAGACGTTAATTTCATCAAGTCCCTGTTAATATGGGAAGACACAGTGTCTATGCTTAAGGCACAACTCTCCTAAACACGAGAGTCAAGTATACAACTTTAGAACACTTTCCCACCAGGAGACTCGAACCCTAGCCAGCACAGAAGCCTTCCAGCAACTGGCATAACAGGTACGCCTTAACCCTCTCCACCACCTGCTCAGACCCTTAAAAGAGATGGTAATTTCGGAGTATTTAAATACCACAAAGATCACCACCTCCCAAGAGCACTAGAGCAAGTGAGGGGTCATTTAGACGTTAATTTCATCAAGTCCCTGTTAATATGGGAAGACACAGTGTCTATGCTTAAGGCACAACTCTCCTAAACACGAGAGTCAAGTATACAACTTTAGAACACTTTCCCACCAGGAGACTCGAACCCTAGCCAGCACAGAAGCCTTCCAGCAACTGGCATAACAGGTACGCCTTAACCCTCTCCACCACCTGCTCAGACCCTTAAAAGAGATGGTAATTTCGGAGTATTTAAATACCACAAAGATCACCACCTCCCAAGAGCACTAGAGCAAGTGAGGGGTCATTTAGACGTTAATTTCATCAAGTCCCTGTTAATATGGGAAGACACAGTGTCTATGCTTAAGGCACAACTCTCCTAAACACGAGAGTCAAGTATACAACTTTAGAACACTTTCCCACCAGGAGACTCGAACCCTAGCCAGCACAGAAGCCTTCCAGCAACTGGCATAACAGGTACGCCTTAACCCTCTCCACCACCTGCTCAGACCCTTAAAAGAGATGGTAATTTCGGAGTATTTAAATACCACAAAGATCACCACCTCCCAAGAGCACTAGAGCAAGTGAGGGGTCATTTAGACGTTAATTTCATCAAGTCCCTGTTAATATGGGAAGACACAGTGTCTATGCTTAAGGCACAACTCTCCTAAACACGAGAGTCAAGTATACAACTTTAGAACACTTTCCCACCAGGAGACTCGAACCCTAGCCAGCACAGAAGCCTTCCAGCAACTGGCATAACAGGTACGCCTTAACCCTCTCCACCACCTGCTCAGACCCTTAAAAGAGATGGTAATTTCGGAGTATTTAAATACCACAAAGATCACCACCTCCCAAGAGCACTAGAGCAAGTGAGGGGTCATTTAGACGTTAATTTCATCAAGTCCCTGTTAATATGGGAAGACACAGTGTCTATGCTTAAGGCACAACTCTCCTAAACACGAGAGTCAAGTATACAACTTTAGAACACTTTCCCACCAGGAGACTCGAACCCTAGCCAGCACAGAAGCCTTCCAGCAACTGGCATAACAGGTACGCCTTAACCCTCTCCACCACCTGCTCAGACCCTTAAAAGAGATGGTAATTTCGGAGTATTTAAATACCACAAAGATCACCACCTCCCAAGAGCACTAGAGCAAGTGAGGGGTCATTTAGACGTTAATTTCATCAAGTCCCTGTTAATATGGGAAGACACAGTGTCTATGCTTAAGGCACAACTCTCCTAAACACGAGAGTCAAGTATACAACTTTAGAACACTTTCCCACCAGGAGACTCGAACCCTAGCCAGCACAGAAGCCTTCCAGCAACTGGCATAACAGGTACGCCTTAACCCTCTCCACCACCTGCTCAGACCCTTAAAAGAGATGGTAATTTCGGAGTATTTAAATACCACAAAGATCACCACCTCCCAAGAGCACTAGAGCAAGTGAGGGGTCATTTAGACGTTAATTTCATCAAGTCCCTGTTAATATGGGAAGACACAGTGTCTATGCTTAAGGCACAACTCTCCTAAACACGAGAGTCAAGTATACAACTTTAGAACACTTTCCC